TCTTTTGTTGTAAGGGATTTATATCTGAGTGAGAGTTCATAGTCCTGCACACCTGCTGCAGCCATTTCAAAGCGGTTCTACTCTCACTATGATCTAAGCATATTCCACATCCACGTTGCTCAGTTTCCAGCTAAGGGGGAGCATCTGAAACATACTGTAAGCACATTACATGGAATTTAATTGTGTTTAATGTTTTTTCACAAGGTCATAGTATTTGTTTATCAGGATATGTATATAGCTTACAAGGAGTTTACCTTCTCATATGGTTCTTAAATGTGTCTTGTTCGTTCTACCAAAACAGATACTTGTAGCATTTTAGGGATGCTTTTGTTTGCAACAGTTGGCCTTGGCCTTGTCTGTGTAAACAAGCTGTTAGTCCTATTAAATCTCCGAGCTGTGCAGCATTGTTATTTCCTTTTCTTTAAGCCCAATAAATCTCCTAGTGCATAAAATACAGCACACAGCACAGCAGACGAAGGATGTCAAGGAAAGAGAAATTCTGCAATATTCTGTACAAATTGTGATGCAAACATGCAGCTGGCAAATAAGGGGGTGTACTGTAAATCTTAAAGTGTAGTTCCACTTTGCTTACCTTTTAGGTGTTTTTGACTTGCTTAAAGGAGAACTATGAGATGAGTGAGATGAGTGATTTCCACTCACCTCATAGTTCTAAGCCGACCTGTGACAATGAGACTGTCACAGGTCGGCTCAGTAGATCGAGAGGTGAGCGAACACATACCGGGTTCCCTCACCTCTCGATCCTGTCACGGCTCTCTGCCGTGACAGGGGGAGGGGTTGGATTACCCTCTCCCCGCTCCGATCTGCCAGCGCTGACTGGCGGAACGGACGGGGCAGTAGATATATGCAAAAAGTTAAAAAAGTTTTTTTTAAAAACGCTTTTACAGAGATTAATACTTACCTGTGTCTTCCCGTGCGCTCCCATCAGAAAAAGTGAAAATTCTCGGGCGGTCGCAAAGCATCTTGGGGCGGGCAGTTCGGATTTTCAGCCGGGAGACGGGGAGAGACACAAGGTAAGTATATGGACGCCTGCACCCGCATGCAGACACCGTGGGATAGGAAGTACCAGCAAGGACAGAGGAGTCAGCGCTGGATCTGAGACCCGCAGCCGCGCTGGAGAGAAGGCTGAAAACTACAGGAAAGAAGAAGATCGGATTAAGAGACATCATTTAAGGTAAGTGCTTTAATTAACATTGGGGGAGGGAAAAAACTGTTTGCCTTTAATGTCACTGTAACCCTGTTTGTACTGTGCTGGCAGATCTCATTATAAGTTGTAAACTAGATTGGAACACTGTGTATCCTAACAAAGAGTTAACGGTATCAAGACATTGTTTGTTAATGAGAGGAAGCTCATCCTGACCCTCAGTCTGACCATCTAGTCCCACTTTTAAACTGCTCAGAGTAGCTTGGAATCTGCGCAAAGGCCTTTACCAAAGAGACATCTAAAAGGTAAGAAATATAATGGGGTTTTCTCAAATTTGACTGCAAAAGTGGAACTACACTTTAAGCTGGCCGTACATGTTATGAATTTTCTCTTTCAGCCTCACGGGCTACAGTCACTGTTCGGCAGACAATTTTCCACCTGGCTCCTTTGACAAAAGTTAATGTAAAAATCTAATTTTGTTCAATTGGGTGGTGTCGGCAGGGCCACCCATGGATCAAATTTTAGCCGATTTAGCAGGAATCAGCCTAAATTTGATACGTGCATGGCCAACTTTAGCCCTTTGACCTCATGGGCCCAAAAGCAGCATCAGCAACCTCTGAACCCCATGTAGTTATGTCTTTTCATGGAATAATTCAAACAGGGTTTCCAATGCAAGTGGAAGGAAGGTGGGTGTAGGATGCAGAAAGGAGGTAGGTTTGGTTAATTATCTTGGGGTGGAGGTTGAATTTACAAAGAATGTTAGGAAGGGGCAGCATAGGTTGAGGACATTTCTGTTTTTGAAGAAATTCATTTGTTGGGTAAGGGGGCCAGTTTCAACTCAGAAGCTGCATATTAGTTCCAGGGCAGTGAAGTACCTGTTCAGCATCACTGAGGGTGAGGTGGCTGCTATCAAACTTGTATGCTTCTTGTGTCAGAAAGGGGTTGGATGAGATTTGAATGCTGAAATATACTGTATATCGATAGCTACTATCAGTATGTCTATTTTAAATTGAAATCATGTATATGGACAAAAAAGCTATATACAGCACATCTCTCCAATACTTTTCCCCATGTTTTACCCTTTTAAAAATGCAGCAAATATCTGACATTACTGCCAGAAATCAAGTAACTTCCCTATGTTCCCTGACGATACAGGAGTTCTTTCTTGCTGGACTACAGAACGCTCTCTATTCCTGCCCCTCCCTGTCCCTCTCTACATGCATACATTGATTTAATTTCCAACAAAACAGTGCTGCTGCCTTGATTCCCAAGAGCCTGCCCATACTTTGTCTGCAGTGAATGGGCTCTTGTAAGATGTAGTAGGCCACCCTGCTGGACCTTCCTCCCAGCAGTGGTCCCTGCAAGTATTTTATATGTCTGGTGATGACATTACAGGGACTATTAAAAGATGCTTCCTGCTACAGGAGGTAAAAGTAAATAGTGCTGGAATATGCTTTAGAGGGGGAGGTCTGGGGGGTAGATATGGGTCATGCCTGGAGATAACCTTTTCTTTGCTAAAAGCAGATTCCCATTGAAATGAAGTAAGTAAAATAATTGTATTGTTCTTACTGTAGAAGAAGCCTCTAGCATCGACAAACTGCGCTGTGAAAATGAAGGAGAAGCAACTCTTGGAATTGTTTCCTAATTTAGAGCAAAATCTGCTTATGGACATTTTTAAAGAAAACAAGTAAGGAGGACTTTTGTCCTTGAATGTAAAATATACATTTTTATGGATTTAAACTTATGTACACTCTGGTCTTATATTAGTTGTTTGCAGCACATTTAGAACAACAGGGCAATTTGTGAAATGTGCCCTATTACGTTTTGATACACATTAAAGTTGAAGTGTGGACAAAATCTTTATTGGGGTTTCATTTAGATACCAATAAGGTACATCTAATGATATGCGCCCCACTGGTGGCTGTTGCTTCTTTCTTCAAAAATTTAAGCCATAGTATATGCAGCCCCTGATGGTGATGTCACCACTGAAGTTCTGGTGGTGAAACTGATAGTCAGGGCAGGAGCACAACAGTGACAGCAGGTCATTTACTGCGCAGCTCCTACATTTAGAAAATATCTTGAATTCTTTGGAAAAGAATCCAAGGTGTTCTGTGATTGGATAATGGGAGATTGTGATGTTCATACATCCTTTGTCCAGTTACAAAAGAATGCAACGAGGGGAATTGATCAAAACTGGAGCAGATGAAATCTGGAGCAGCTGTGCATGGCAACCAATTAGCTTCTCTCTTTCATTTTCAAATCTTAATTAAACAAACTGAAGAGAGAGAGTAGCTGATTGGTTGCCATAGGCAACTGCTCCAGATTTTGTCTGCTCCAGTTTTAATAAATTCCCCCCCCACAATGTTTTCTGAGTGGAGAAGCTGCACAGCTAGCAATCCTCTGTGATAACTGTGCTTCAGACCCAACTGTCACTTTCACCGCTGGAACTCCAGCAGTGGCATCGGCATCAAAGATGCATGTAAGTAACATTTTTCAAGATAGAAGCAGCAGCCCCCAGTGGGACACAAATCATTAGAAGGTTTTTGCCCATACTTTAGCTTTAAAGCAAGACAAATAGTGCATGCATGCCCACTTGCAAATATGTGTTGGCTTTTGCTTTATCTCTGTCTTATAATATCCATGTGCCATTTTGCTGAGTCTTTACCCATAACTTACATCTCTTAGTCAGAGGTGATGAAGGTAGTGCTACCATAGTGATGTAATCTTTCCCTCGTAGAAAGTCCTTTGTAGGAACTATATTTGTGAAATTGGGAACCAGACAAGTAATAAGACAGTTTTATCCTCACTCTAATCCTCGTCTTCTTTTATTAGCCACTTATTAATTGTTTTACTAAATGCGACTATCATTAAAATGAGAAAAATGACATGGGGCAGAACTAGAAAGAGCTACGTTGTTGTGTAGTCAGAGTGAGTTGAGACAAGCTTATCTACTTGTTTGTTTACTATCAATAATGGAGAAAGTACTGAAGCCATTGGATAGCATTACAGCCAGGCAAATAATATTTTCAGAAGTCAACAGTGCATTTACAATGCTTCACAGCAAGTATGCTTGACTTTCTAAAATGTAACTGGGATTGGCCAGTATCTAGAATAATTCTTGTAGATGTGATTTAAATACGTTATATAAATAAGTAACAATTACTTTTTTTAATTAACTGTCTGCATTGAGGAAAAACTATGCTTTACATCCAATCTGCAGTTATTCTTTAGAGAAGACAGAACAGTTCATCAGCTCAGCACTAGAAGCTGATCCTGTGCAGAATGTTGTGGCTCCGGGGTTTAAACAGGAAGTGCCCCCTTCAACTGACCGAACAAAGGAAAAGGTAATTTTTATTCATTAGGTTGTAAACAAATAGAATTTAGCATGTTCTGTGGCAACCTATTCTCATTATAGTTGATTTATTAAATTCTATTTTCACATTAAATAAGTAATATGCACTAAGTTTAGTAAATAAGATGAAGCTGTGTTATCCAATCATTTGCTAGCAACTTTGTTTTCTTTTTTCTTTCCCTTGTGTTAATAGGTATTAATATACCATGGTTTTTAATGGAGATGTGGAATTCATATATATTTGTTTTTCTTTTGTATATATTGGTTTATTTATAGAAGAGGTTTGTTAAACAGGTTTTCAATATATTTTCTTTTTTGTAGTTATTAGACAATTAAATTGAATGCCACTTCATACCCATAATCTAGTGTTAAAAAATTAAAATATAAATTTAGCCTGACACTTACGTTAAGAAGTCTCGGAGAAGGAAAGGGGGTAACTTTGCATGGACCTTGGAAGGAATTTTCTCTTTCTTGAATGTATTAGTTTTCCTGTCCTAAAATTCACTCCAAGTATTAAAGAATAAGCAAAACGACTGCGGAATAAAATACTGCGACAGCTGAAACATTATTTTTTTCTTCTAGATAGCAGATCTTTCAAAACATGAAATGTACTTAACTGAAAATGTTACGCCACAGATTAAGTTGTTGGTTATCTGCATTCAATTTGACCCATTTATCTCATTTTCAATATAAATTGAAAAAAAACATTACCCCTAAAATGTTGTTATACACATATGAAACACCGCAAAAAATTGTGCAATCATGCACACAAAAGAAGGGGGAAAACCATAAAAAATTGCTCTGAGCAATAATGACATATATAATGACAAATATGTTAAAGTAAAAAGTTTGAGTAAAGTTACCTATAGACACCAGACGGGAGCCAGCTCTGCACACATCATCCAGCCACAAAATGATCTGTTTATGGCGGAGGTGAAGGGAGCACTATGTGCACTGAGCCTGTCTTGGGGGAAACCGGTAATGATCAGCTAGGAAAACCCATTCCAGCTAATACATTTCTGCCCTGAGCTCCTCCAAGGGGCTTCATGGAAATGGTTCTCCTTTAAAATCATATCTGTAGTTTGCCCTCTGCAGCTGGAATAATGGCTTGTTTCATATGCTGTGGCCTTTTATAACAATTTCAATAGAGGTTTTTTGGTCATATTTTTTAGTTTTTTTTGTAACTGTAATAATTGTCATATTTAAAATGTTGAATTGTGTACCTATAATTGAAAGAGAGCAAAAGCAGACAAGGAAGATCTCAGTGAACGCTACTTCCAGGATTTGGAATACCCAGAATATGATGACTTCAGGGCTGCAGCCATTCTGTATCATAAAAAGCAGCAGGAGAGCTACAGGAAAGCAGCGGAAGCTCACAACCGGGGAATGCAACAAGTTGCAACTTTTTATGCGCAACAGGTTAGTTTTGTTAAAGATAGGTCATATCTCATTATGGAATGCACACAGAACTTCTGGAATAATGCAAACTTCAAAGTTGGGTGATTGTGGTTGGTGCTACTGTTTGTAAGAACAGCGTGCCTCTGTCTAATGTAACAAATTGAAAAAAATGTAACCCCCTATAAGAAAACATGCCCAGTGATGAACAACAAAATTGTCACACTTAGTATGGGAGGAGACTGATTTAGCCATTCCGATGCTGGCTCTGACACGTGGTGGTTTCAGGTTTCTATATACAGTATTTTGTATATACATTTTTTTAATTTTGGTCAGGACTAAAGAGTTAAATAATTATATACATACAATCTTTTTAATCAACTACTACACACTAATATTTTGTCTTTTTTGTGAATTTATTCTGCATGTTTACCAGATTAGTTTTACCTGTTTTGCTGACAAAAAAAGACAGTTTACAGAGTTCAATAGCAGAAGCTACAATTTACACACAAATTAATACGTTAGAGGAGAGAGAAACTGAAACCGTGTCTGCTGTTGTTCTTTAGAAACCCATAATGCTCTGTGAATTTCGATTTGCAGCAGTGATATGGTGTAACACGGTCACTGAGTTTACATGTTCAACAGTGTTACAGTATAGCACAATCAATACCAAGTACATGTACTCATAAGACATATCAGTTTATGGAGAAAAGTGAGTCAGGCAGAGTGTATGAGCTAGAGCAGGGACCTGTTACAAGCACAATTTCAGTCTGCACCTGCTTTTGATACAGGGCAACTTCACATTAAGTAACGTTGTCCTTTAATAAACTGCCCCCACAACCCTGAGTGCATCCCACCTTGGATAAAACTTTACATTCCTGCTCGATCCAGACATCTTTCCTCTGACAAGGCCCCGACCAGCTCTCTTCATACTGCACATGTGCACTGCAGCCCTATTAATTCCTGTGGGTAAGCCTTACTCATGACGGCTTTCTTACTACCTGCATAGTATGCTTTTCTAAATACTTTACAAAAAGTAATTTTTTTTTTCACTTTACCTTCAAAGATTAGAAAATCCATTTGACTTGCTTTAAAGTATAATGCTTATTGTCTATTCTCCTCTAGGGCTATTTGTATGGGCAGAAGATGAAAGAAGAAAATCGCAGAGCAGCTGTGCAGATCTTCGAAAGGGCTAATGAGTTCCTCCTACCAGAGAATATATTAGATTTGCATGGACTTCATGTGGATGAAGCTATGAAACACTTCCGCAGAGTCCTGCAGGAAAAGACAGAAGGTAGTAGACTGTCCCTTCCTGATTTGCTGCGGACAACTATGTCAGCACTGTGTGCTAGCAGACCAAATGGCAGTTTATATCCTTGGAGCCATACTTCAATATTGGTCCATGTGATGGGTGGCCTCACTAGCCAATAGTGAAGTGTGGCTGGAGGCTGAACCAAGTACCTGCTTAAAAAATGTAAATTAATATTTACCGTAATAGAGTGTCATGGAATTGTCTAAGAATAAACTGAAGGAATGTGTGTTCATCTGTGCATACCTGCATTTAATTTAGGCTGCCAGTTTTCCAACTTCAGTACAAGTTTGCTTTATCAGACCTAGCTGAATCTAAAAGAAGATGAGCACTAGACATTTTACCAAAACCTGAGATTCCAGGCAACAGTAAATTAAACCAAATTATTAAATAGATTATGACAATGTGTAACATTTCAGAGTTGCCGTATGACACAGATAACCAAATCTAAATGTGTAGTATTATTGGTGCCAGTAAATCCATCAAAAAATTTCAGTATTTATGTCTTATATACCAATTTATAAAATGTGCCTATTGCAACTAATCAGGTTTGATGTGTCATTCTCTGGTAAAAAGAAACAAGATATCTGATTGATTGATGCTGGCACTTTTCATGTTAATACAGAACTACCAAGAATTAGAATTGGCCTTCGAGTTCAGCAGAATAGATGGTTTGATTTCCTCATCCACGAGCATGTTTAGTATATAATTGTGAGCATGTACACAGCACATTCAAGGTTCTCTTCCAAATAACAGGCATAAATTGAACAGCGGGACACACAAATATGTGGTGAAATAGCTTGCTTTTAATGCATTGGGGGGTAACATACGGAAAATACAAATTTTGGTTTAAATTCTTCAAAACATTGGAACAAAGCTTAACTGGCATGAATGGTGACTCACAATAACAAAATAAACAGACCTGTTTCAGATCTATGTGTGACACCCACACCAGTTTCTATTTCAAATAAGGTTCAGCTATATTGTCCAACATTCAATACAAACCCTGAAGAGCCTCAGATCTGCTCTGAATCTCCAAAGGTTGATGCTGGAACCCTCTCCTCGATTGGTGTACCTGGGCCTAGTCTTGGACACAGCCTCTGTCCAGGGTTTTCTTTCCACTGAAAAAGATCCAATCTCTATGCTCCCATGTGCAGATCTTGCAGTCCAGGATTCACTCATCCATTCACTTTTGCATGAAGCTTCTTGGATTAATGGTGGCTTCCTTTGAAGCATTCTCATATGCTCAGTTTTACTCCAGGCTGTTGCAGCCCAATGTGCTAGATGCATGGGACAAACCGATACAGTCTCTGGACCTCCACTGTCTTTCAAAACAAGGCTTGCCCTGGCGTGGTGGATCTCCAACCCGGTGCCGGAATCAGGGAAATCCTCCCCATGGTCTGGAAAGTGCTCAACACAGATGCCAGCCTGACTCCCTGGGGGAAAGTTTTGGAAAGCCTCTCCGTTCATGGGACCTGGTTTTTGGAGGAGTCTCGGCTACCAATCATCATCCTGGAACTCGGGGCGATTCAGTTGTCCCATTAACACTGGTTCCCTAAGTTGCATGGTCACCTGACCAGGATTCAGTCAGACAACATCATGGCTGTGGCTAACATCAACCATCAGGCAGGACCAGAAGTCAAGCAGTTCAGAGGGAAGTGGACCTGAATCTGGCCTGGGCCTGGTTCACTTCCCGGCTCTGTCCACTGTACACATTGGCAGGCACAAAATGGGACAATTAACTTCCTCAATTATCAACATCTGGACCTCAAACAATGGTCCTTCTTATCCAGGGGTGTTTTGAGCCCTATGTTATAGTTGGCAGATGCTGAACGTAGACCTCCTGCACAAGGTTGTTGCCTGGATCAAGGGTCTTTGGGATTTGTTTAGCCTTTTCTATGCTTTGCCTCTGACCCTATTGCTTTGCCTGCTTCACAGAATTGAGACAGAAGGCATTTCGGGGACATCTTCATTGCTTCCAACTGACCCAGGATACTATGGTGGGTGGACGTAGTCAAACTCCTGGTAAACTCTCCATGTGCACTGCAGGACCATCCAGACCTTGTGTCCCAAGGACTTCTGAGCCACTGGCTTTAATGGCCTGGTTGTTGTGTGCGCATGTGAAACGACAACAAATTTCAGGACCCCAAAAAGTCCATAGACGACGCCGTAGAATTATTGCTTTTGCGCGGCGATACCCAACATGTGTAGCACGATTATCGTTTTTATACGTAGGCGCACCCGATGCGTGTTTACAAAATACACATGGGGGCAAGGGACTTTAAAAAAAAAAATATATATATTTTTACATTTATGTTATTTAATTATTTTTTTTGAACTTTTTTTGAACTTTAATTGCTATTACAAAGGG